TAAAGTAACGCCAGCCTCTTATAGAACACTTTCAGCACAAGACAGGGAATTCTTTGTTTCTGTCACCGTTTTACAGTAAGGCCATTCAGTGCTCAGAACCAAGACGATAACATGGTACACTTATTTAATAGTCTATGTGCTTTTCTATTTTGTTGCATCATTAAACGGCATTAGAATTGAGAATTAGGACTCTCTTTCCTCGCCAAAAGAAAACACAAGTGGCCTGTTGATTGCAACATTTACTCTCCCAGATACTTCCAGAGTAATACAAAATCCTGGCCAGGCATTTGTAGAAAGGAGCTGGTGGCATGTGCCCCAGCCTCCTCCCCTGCATGCAAGCTCCATGCCCAGAAGGACATCATAAATCACCTATAATTTACGATGAGCCCAGTCGTGTGCTACACCCAGCTAGTTCGCTGCTGTCTGTCCTCTATACACTATGACCTCCTTTCTTCAGAGCATACAGTGACTTTTTCAGATGAGCCGTCAGACAGAGAGCTGAGGATTTTCCCTTTGGCTGGTCCAGCCAAGCGGTAGAGAGGGGAGAAGACAGAAGACTCTTGTTCTTAGAGTTTCGCCAGAAGCCACTTGCTTTCTCTTAGATGGGAGGTGGGGAAGGAGCAGAAAACAAGACCATTATCATTATTAGCCTATTTTCTTTTATTCATTTATTCAACCAATACCCAGATTTTCTGAGTGCCAACAAGCTGCAAGGCGTTGTCGAGGATACAGCAGTAAACAAAACAGTGTCAGCTCTCGTCGAGACTACACTTAGACAAAGTAGTAGGTCCCATGTCCCATGTCAGGAGGTGGTGACATATTTTGCAGAGTAGGAAGATGGATAAAGATGGGAAGGGGAAACAGCTATTCTACATCGGGTGTGCAGGGAAGGGATTTCTAATAAGGTGACCTTTGAGCAAAGACTTGAAGGAAGTGAGGGAATGAGCCAGGTGGGGGTCTGGGGAAATCTCCTCCCAGAAGGACAGAGGCCACCATGCAGGGACCTGCCTCAGGGGAGAACCAGCAGGGGCTGGAGGGGCTGGAGCAGAGAGAAGCAGGAGGGGGTGTTAGGGGAGGATCAGATGGGGGGAGGCCCAGCCTAGAGGAACGTTAACTCACCCAGTGCAGGGAGTGAAACAGGAAGCACGGTTTGCTTGATCTTGGTGTAAAAATCTCTCAGGCTTTTTCAATCGAGATGAAAGTGAATAACCACGAGCCATTTACTCAACTGGTGACCATACTTTGCTTGGAGAGACCTAGCTACTACATCCAGTGATCTGTGCCCTGCGGAGTCTCTTCCCTGGCAATATTTTGGTTATGCCACAGCTGGGAGTAAGGCCCCCAACATTACTGCAGTTGTTGCACAGATGAGTGGAGCAGCTGGGGGGATGCTTGGGATCAGATTCTAGGAGGTGTCAATAACCCACTTTGCGGTCAATGAACGCAGCGCTAACTCATGCTATTTTCCACTCACAAATGACCAGCTCTAGTCTAGAGCTGCGGGGAGCGTGTGTTGGTGCCAAAGTTACAGGAGTGTGGTTTTGACTCCTTAGGAGGAATACCTTCCTAAAAATGAGGGGGATGGATCACGAGGTGGTCTCTGCCATAAAGGGACCATCCTGCCTCTGAAGGTTTTCAGGCAGGTGAGCATATCTCCGGAATGTTCTAGAAATAACGCCTGCTCTGGGCGGCACGTTGGACTAGAATGACCTCTCAGAGGCGTTCCGATGCAAAACACTCTGAACCTGTGGAAAAGTGTCCAGTGAATGTGCTCTGCAAACATACGGACGCTATATAAACACGAGGCGCATATTTTTGAAGATGAAGAGTGAGATACTTGTTCTTCTGGGAGAGCAGTGGTCGGAACTTTGTGCCCCAGTGACATACCTTCCGCACTCGGTCGCCTGCAGTTGGTTCTCATTGGCCCCATACGCAGTTATCTGCATTATGTGTTAAAAATGCGCTCGGCCAGAGACCAAACAAATAGCCAAAGGCATTTTCCTATCAGGGCCCGTTTTTGGAGGTAGAGCCAAAGAACAAAGCTGTCAGTTTTGATTCTTGGCAGGAAGCCATGCTGCTGCTTCAAAGCTCCAGAATTTATAAGGAGGGATTTTTAGCCGAGATTTGTTAGAATTAAAGCAACAGAAAACTTAAAAACTAATATGTAAAGCATACTCTGGGATCCGAAATGGAAAGGCAGAAACAAAAGCGGGATATGTTCTGGGCTCTCAGGTGAGATTTAAGTGCAAGAATGAAAGATTTTAAAGGCACCTAAAGCGGAGATTGCAGAATGGCCTTGATTAGGGGCCGGCCCCGTGGCCGAGGGGTTAAGTTCAGTGCGCACCGCTTTGGCGGCCCGGGTTCGTGGGTTCAGATCCCGGGTGTGGACCTACACCACTCGTCAGCCATGCTGTGGTGGCGACCCACATACAAAGTGGAGGAAGACTGGCACAGATGTTAGCTCAGGGCTCATCTTCCTCAAACAAAAAAAGTAAAAAAAAAAAAAAAAAAAAAAAGAATGGCCTTGATTAATGATCTAGGATCACACAACATTTGAGCTGGACGAGATGTCATTTAGCGATTGTGGAATCTCATCCCTCAATTTACAGATAACGGATCAGAGGCCCTGGAACTTAAAAAGCCTGCCCAACATTACACAAGTCAGTGTGGAAGATCTGAGACTAGAATCCAGGACTCTTGACAATCATTTTGTGTTTTAGGCCCTTTGCAGAAGCAGCAAACAATTAAAAGTTCTGCTTCCTAAGGGCCAGGGCACACAGCCACGGTGACTGTACTCTGAATCGACAGTGCGTTTGGTTTCCCAGAATGTGGCCTGATCCCCGGGCCCAGTGGCACTTGTTCCTGCGGTTCTCACCTGCATCCTCAAGCTTCGTGCAGCACAGCCTGGAACCTCTGGGCCCACCCACAGGAGTCTGCAAGAGGTCTTCAGGGGCCTGGCTCCCCTCAGAGCCCCAGTCAAGCCTGAGTGGGTTTGTACAATCCTTGGGAGATGGCAGTGGTCAGGGTCCTTCTCAACCGCCTGCAGAATCTCAGCAGTGTCCCCCAGTGTCATTGTGGTGGTGGTTGGCTTCCTGTGCCGACAGGCGTTCTCTTCTCTTTGACAAAAGCCTGAACAAATCGAAGCTGTATTTAAATAACAGCCCTCTTTTTACGTAAAAGAACCCCCGTAAAAGAACAGCTCCTGCTGGCGCCTACACCCAGTTAACTTGGTCCATTGAAATCACCAACATTTAAGTGGGCTGTTGATATTTGCTTCTGGAAAGGAGGATGGGGGGTGGGGATGAGTGGGTAATCTAAGGGAAATGGGGAGGGTTCTGTGTGCGTCCTGATTTGGACCAACAAGACGTTAATTATCACTCTTTTGACCATTCATTCGTTTTCTTGTTTGTTTACATTCTGATCGTATCCCAAAAAAACATTTGATAAAACCTAGAACAAAGAGCACACGTGCTATAAATAAAATATAAATGAAGTCAGGTCGCTGAGAAGGAGGAAACAGATTTCATCCATGAATTGTCATATGAAATCTGTGTTAAATATCAAGTTTTACTCTGACCTTAACCAGGATAAAAAAGGAGCACACGATTCCTAGTTCTCAGAAAAGGAAAAGAATTCCAGTTTCTTCAAGAGAGACAAAGTGTTGCTATTCTGGGGCTCATGCCGCTCCTAAGCACTTAGTGAGGACTTGCAGGTGCTTAATACAAAGCTCCCCGCCCAGAGGCATGCCCCTCCCTCCCGCCCTCTCTTCAAAGTGTCTTTGCTCCAGACCACCTGGAACACCCCCCAAAAACGTGTTTTTAGTTATCATGAGCTCTGTTTGTATGTGTCAAGGCATGGCTTTGGGTAATGGGGTTTAGTTTAGGTCTCAAAATTATGTTGTCCAGGGTGGCTCTAGGATTTACAGATGATGAGGTCAGGAATAGGAATTTTGGGGAGGGTCAGAAGCGACTTCTGCTGTGGCTACCCAGTCTCCACCACTGTACCTTTCTTTTTCCCCAAAGAACCCTAGGCCCCTTCTCTGGCCCTTTTTTGCTGTGTCAAGGTGCTTTTTGGAATAGGGCGTCCGAGGGAAGAGAGTTGTGCAGAACACACTTTGGGGAATGTTGGCCCAAAGGATTAGTAGATGACATGATGACCCTGTATTAATTTTACACACCTTCTTGTGCCCTGAAAGTGGGGAATGAAGTTAGCAGTTACATAGACGTGTAGGATTCAGGAACGAATATTATACACATCTATGGTAAATACTATTGAGGTCCCACCCTGAGCTCCTAAACTCCATTCTAAAGTTGTACCAGGAATTTAGATTCTTCCGGAAGAAGGAAGAAGCAGTGTTGAGATTTAATTCCCATCCCTTTACGTGCCTGTGAAAGTATGAATTGACTCCATCCTCCTAGGACTTGGGTTTTGTCAAGGAATATGCTAGAACACTCTAGAACTTTTGAGTATGGCAAGGAAAAGAGTTACAGAAATCTGATATGTTGGACTTTTGTAATGGATGGTGTGAGAGAGAAAACACTGGAAAAAGAGTCCCTTCCCTCTGGGATTTGGATGAGTTACCTGAATATTTACTGAAAGTTCGTTTGTTTTTAATGTAAGCATACATATCCTCCACATACACTGCATATTCATAGAAGCCTATGTTTTAGAATGCATCATGACTAAAGAAAGGAATATTTCAAAGTGAGACGTAGCCTTTGTGCTCTATAGTTGATGTGAAATAATGTGTCTGGATTCTTGGCCAAACATCATCGTTGCAAAGACCAGGCACAGTGGCTGGGTTTCAGATCATGGGCTGGAGTCATTGCTCTCATCTGAATTATGTTGACTCCAGTCACATATTTTGCTAGGCACCTTGAAAAACTGGGGTTTGAGCCCTCAAATGAACAGAATTAATGTGCTTAATTCTACTTGGAATGTTTTTCAAAATTATTGTAAGCAATGACTTGATTCTTACTTGTGCTTATTCTTTTTAAAAGTATTAGAAAGGAAGATATCCACAAGACAAAGTAGAGAGGAGCTGATAAGAAGGGGAGTTCTTAAGGAATTGCCTGATCAAGGTGAGGAAATTAATGATACCTTTAAAATAATTTGATCCTTCCTTCTTTGGCCTTTCTTTCATTTTCTTTTGAAATTTAAGATGATCCTGGTCTTTGGAGGAGAAAGCAGTGAGTACCACACCTGAGAATCTTGCTTTAATTCACAATGCCTTTGTGGGCTGCAGAGAATCTAAGGTATTCTAGAAAAGAAATTCAATGACCTCTTTGGTGAGTCCTTCGCCATATGTCACTCTAAACCTAAATCTCCACAAAGGTACACTGTGGCTGGAGATACAGATAAGATACAAATGCTTATATGACTCCTTCTCTTCTCTGTTCTTGAACTTCAGTCTTTCTATACAAGTTAACTCAATTGTTGGAATAAATGCAGAGTTTCAGCTTGGCTCATGCCTTTTGGTTTCTTAAGTCAACCAGTAAAAGAAAAGAGAGAGAAAAGAGATGATAAATGTACCTCTTGTCCTTTCTACTCTATAACACACTCAGATGTGCAATCAATAAGGCATGAATGGGCAAATTAGATTAATCTGCTTTACACGATCTCTCCAGCAAGTTTCCCAGGATTATTCTCTTTTCATTTCTTTGAATCTTTGAATCACTAACAATTATTTCCAAGCATTTCTTTTCCTAATCTTCTTCCCTTTTTTTTTCTCTATCCTCCTGAGGGAGAATCTTACTCAAAAAGACAAGGATTAGATAGAAACTGAGAAAGACTCTCAAAAAAAAACACCAAAATTGGCTATTTCTCCAAATAAATACTACTGAATAATTTTCATTGCTTCCACTACTATTAAAAATAAAAGAAATTTTTGTTGCAACATTGTTGATTTATTCTTGCCTTCCCCCAGCCCACCCCCAAACGTTTACTGGGGAAAAGTATTATTGTTATACTTTTATGGGAACAAATGAAATACTATTAATTTGGAATTGAAATAATAAAATACTTCTTTTTTCCTGATATATGTTCCTTGCAAAGAACTAAACATCTTTTGGCCATTGCTGTCTATAAATCCAAATGACACTTTTTTCCAACATCTGAATAATTCCAGAATGGGGCTAGGAAATGCTTTACTATTTTACTCCTGCTTCCAAGAAAATAGAGAAGTCTGGAGTGAATAATATCATTTTTCTTGAGCTCCCACAGTTTTAGGTACTTTACTTCAATTTCTGGCCTATTATACTTTTCTCACTCCATTTTATGAGTGAACTTTATGTCTTCCCTAATTTTTCTGTTACCTTGAGGCCGTTTATTTCCTGTCTGGGACTTTTAACAATAAAAAAATGCACATCTCTAACTTTTTTTTACTTGAAGGTGGACTTGCAGTATCAAAATTTGTCTCCTGTCTAATCTCTCTGGAGGCAGTAGAGTAATTACACGTCCACTGAAAACTGAACACAGGGCAATCACCTGTGGGGGGTGGGCCAATGCACTTTTATATTATCTTTTGGAAATATCTTAAAGAAAGAAAAAAGGTGGAAAAATTCATGACTGAAACTGTTAATAAGTATTAAAGATATAGATTAAAGGCCTCTTTTTTATCCAGTTATGGCTAGAAAGGAGTTTTTCTAAAAAAAGTATCAATGGTCAATTCAAAGAAATGCTTAGTATTGCTTGGTTTTAATTCTGCCTGATCTGTTAAACTGTTTGCATGGTGAATTACAATTTCATATACTTATTTCCCAGAAATCTGACTCTATTTGACCTTTTTATTTAACTTTTGTAGACTGAACATTGAAAAGTTTTAGAATGTAAAAGAACAAAACAATTTTTAAGCTAAACATAAAGTAATAGGTTGAATGTTTAGGAAGTCATAAATTACTGAGTTTTACTTTCCACCTTTTGCATAGTCCCCATATAGAACTCTAGAAATTCCCTAATACTTGGAAGTTCCTGATGATGCCTATTGTAAATAGACTCCTTCCTCTTTTTCAGCCAAGGGCTGGAGAAAATAGTTTTCTGTCATTTTTCCAAAAACAATTATCTTGAGAATTGCAGTCTGTTTTCAGCCCTAGCCAGAGACTGGAAGCTGGTGTGCTTGGGGACAACCTCCTGTCTTCTGCTGATGAAGGTTCATTCTTTGCCTTGATCTTGACTTTGCCTTAGCTTGTCAACTATGCCCTATATTTAGCGAGCCCCATAGACTTTTTAAATCCCTCCAGCTACCCTGGGTTTGACCTCATCCCATCCCACCCCATACCCTCACTCCCAACTATTATTATTCCTCTTAAATTATCTTTTTTTACACTAAGATCTAACTTCAATCTAAAAGTGCAGCAAGTGGTCTTCTCTCCCTGAGAAGTGCATGGTCCAGTGCAAAGCTCAGTCCTTGTCTTCCGGTTCTGTCCTTCCATCTTTTCCCTTAGCTCTAACACGAGGGCCTGTACTGGCAGCTCCTTTCTTTCTCCCGTGGTGTACTTTTTAACCTTCTAATGAGTCTCTCACCTTTTGTTCAAACATGATTTTTTCCTCGCCTCTGTTCCCCTTTTAACTATACCCCAAATACACCTAAACACCAGAAAGAGGGAAACTCTGCAAACGCTCTCATGTTCCTTATTTAACTGCTTCTTTCTGTGTGCGCTTTATCTCTTGGTTTACTTGAAGCTTATGACTCTTGTTCTGAATTCTCTCTTTCTTTTGCATACAGATGGTCCTATGAGACTTGGCGTGAGCCTCTTACTGTAACCTGCGGTCTGGCTCAGCATCTGCTCTTGCCTTCCTTCACCAAGCTTCTATTTTACTTACCTACATAAACTATATCAAGGAATTAACTTATGTTAATTCTAAAATAATACACAAAGCAAGAAAACCTTTTCAATACGCACACTGATTATTAATAACTTCACTTCTCCTTTGTATTATCCTTGAATTCTGTGTTTATTACAAACATGTCTCCTTTTTCTACAGTTATTTTCATATGCACTCGCTTTATTTCATACCTCAAAGTAAGTATCTTTCCACATTGTTGATTATTTCTCTCTATCATGTGATAATCCAGTTTCTTCTTGTACTACAACTATTTAATTTTCTCTCTAGCTTTTTTGGTCTGAATTTTAAAAATCAGTTATTTAACCTACTAAAGAATTTTAATATAATAATGGTTAAAATAGAATTAAATTGTCATCAACATGACTTCAACGTGTTTTTATTACCAACTAAAGTCATAGAAAACAAAGATAAACATATTTGGGAGACCTAAAAACTGAGAATTTTTATATAAAGAAGAGGTTTTTTATTTTGTTTAGAATTTTCCATTCTTACATTAGTTTTTATTTTTCCTGAGTCTAATATCTGGACATTATATTGGGTCTCTCCTCTTTTTTTAATAGCAAATTTCTTGAGATTCAGTAATAAGAACTAAGAATCTTTTGGTTTCTTTTTGGTTTGACATATACTCTTTAGAAAATTATCACCTTAATTTTATCGAAATAGTTAAGATTTACTTGCAATGGTATTGCCTTCAGTTCTTGTCTCTTTTAGTTTTATACGGAAATCAGATTATAGATACTTGGAAGTTATATGACTAAGCAACAATTGTTTTTTCATTTTGAGCATGACATAATTCCATGTTATGTGTTTTATGTATTAAAACGTTATGCTTGTTTTTGTCAAGAAAACCAGTGGATTTTATTGTTGAGCCCAAGCAATTCAATCATATTTAATGAGAATTTGGGAGATGGTCTCTGTTTTATAATGATTGTCAAACTAAGGTTAATCAAAAATTGCACAAAAACAGCTCTAATCTTGCATTTCTTCAAGTTTGCTAAGTAAAAATCTTCAATTCATTAATTTTTTTTTACAATTGTAGCAAAGTTTCTTAAAATTTGCCAGATATGAACTAGAGTTAATCTTTTCAAGCATCACTGAATTAAGAGTTTCTGCAAAATCTCTTTCACTTCAGAAACTCCTAGGAATTATGAAAGTTCAGGGGTTAAAATTAGTTATTTATGATTTAGATAACATTAGAAATTTTATTTTGTTGTGATTTTTTTTTTTTTTTTTGCTGAGGAAGACTGGCCCTGGGCTAACATCCGTGCCCATCTTCCTCCACTTTATATGGGACACCACCACTGCATGGCCTGACAAGCGGTGCGTCAGTGCGCGCCCGGGGATCCGAACCCGGGCCGCCAGCAGCAGAGTGCGCGCACCTAACCACTATGCCATGGGGCTGGCCCCTCGGTTGTGATTTTTAAAAAATCCTCTGAAATTACTTTTTTCCTACGTGTTTTTTTTCCCTAATGTTTTCAAATTATTATTAAGCCAACTTGAAGATTTTTTGGTTAGTTATACATAACAATTGCCTGAGTACCTTTTAATATTTCCATAAATAAGAAAATGAAAATACAGTTAGCCTTACTATCTTTCGCTGAATATAGAGTAGCTGTTATCTTACTGTGTGACGTTGACTTATCATAGCTTTAATATTCCGGAGATAGTGGTACTTGGAAATTTTCATATTCTCCCACTAATTGTTTGTGTGTAATTCCATTTCATGTTAGCTGTGTATTTGCATTCACCTGTGTCTTTGGTGCTTGTTAAAATGTTTATTCCATTTTTCAGATTACTCCTTTTACCGTTCAGTTTCTGAAAGGCAAAGAAACTCTTAAGTATTGACTTCAAGGAAACCTAAGCACAAGAAGAGAGGGACTCTGCTGCCCGGGCATGTTTTATAATTAGGATAATTGTTCCTACCGTCTTGAATTAGCACCTGGAAATTCCCTCCATAGCTGCTGTCCCCCAAGACTAAGGATTTTCCAGCGCTTTCCTTTAACTTGGTGAAACAGAACAGGATGTATTTGGTGCCCAGGGCCTGAAAGCTGAACCTGAACCCTACAGTCCTAGTAAGTGGAAAACTAGGTTTTAAGAAAGCCATCAAGTTAGACATCTAGGTGTTTCTTTCCCCATTTTAGATGGAGATGTAACAGTTAACTTTGAAAATTCAAACGGGCACATGATACCCATCGGAGAGGAGCCTACCCGAGAGGAAAATGTAGTAAAATCTGAAGAAGGTAATGACCTTGTAGCTGAAAAAGCGCCACCTCTGGAGGAAAAGGCGGAAGATAAGAAAGGTAAAATCAAGAGAAACCCCATATTTTTTTTACTTCACTACAGCTCAATGTCGAGAATCAGGTCTTCGACTCCAAAAAGGGACCTAAGACCAGTAGAGAGGAGGTTTGCAAATACAAAGAGGAGAGAAATGATAATCCGCAAAGAGAAATTGGATGATTTCCGTAGGTAGATGCATCCGTTTTATAAGCACATCATTTAATTTTTTATGAAAGAGGGCTAATTAGCAGTAAGAATCAGAAGGGGTGGGCTCTTCAATCATTAGAGATGTCTGGGAATATTATCCTTTCCTCAGGAGCTTTTTCTCAGTATCTTCTTTAATAAAACATGCCAGCAGTCTGAACATCTTTCTCTGTTGCTTAGAACTGGCCCCTGTGAGCAGCTCAGCATGGAGGAATCAAAACAGGGTGGCTCCTTCAGCCCAGTACTGTCTCTCCAGTAGTGGGAGCTTGGCATCCACACACCCAAAATTGTAGGCTCTAGTTTAGGTCCTATACATTTCTGAGAGAGACTTGGAAATAATTCCCAGACATGCCAGGGATTTTGGTTGCTATCCTGGCCATAGGCTCTGCCCCATGATTTGTCTTGTGCAAATGGAAATTTCAAAATATGCCAGAGCCAATTATGCCGTTCCCTGAAGGCTTCTTTAGAAACCTTGGTTTCTAGAGCAAATAAGCTATGGTAGATTGCATAACTGCAAAATTCATGTCTCTTAAGAAGCCCCCGGAACATTCACAAGTTCCTGGTCACTGATTGATTACATCCCCAATACCACTGCTGTCATATGCAGGAAACTCCAAACCTCATACTTATGCAAACCTGAACTGAAACTCCTACAAGATAAGGCTATGTTGGGAGATTCTAGATGATTCTCTGCAGCATAGAAATGAATCTTCAGGAAATAGGCTATTTCCTGTTCTATAATGTCTGCCACTGAGTTGGATGGCAAAAATTTGTCAAATCTAGTTTGGGTTCCATAGGCATTTTGAGAACTCTTAGAAACTGCTGGAAGCAAACTTCTCTTCCTCTATTCTTGACCCAGATCCTCCAAAGAGCATCCTCCAATGGGAACAAAAGAGCATTTGACAAACATTGCAACTTAAAATCATCTTCTCTGGAAGTCCATAATCCCTTATTATTTGCATATAAATTAGCCTTTAAAAATTTTAGAAGCCTCTACTAATAATCTGTTGCAAATTTATTATTTTGCTTTATTCAGTATGAAGTATAGTATTCATGGGGCTTTACTTAGTCTTGTTCCATTGAAGGACTCTGATTAAGCTTATAAATAATGATTTTGAAAAATTGACTATTTTGAATGATAATTTTCCTGGAACATAAAGAGAAAACAGATCTAAATAGATTTCAAGGGGATTCAATTGAAAGTATTAATGCTAGCAGTGATTTCTTTTTTTATTTTTATTTTTTTAGTCCAACTGTCCTGTCTCACCAGACTGTTAAATTTCAAACCCATCTGTGGTTTGTCCCTGGTATTGCCTTTTCCCATTCAAGAATCACATCCTTCGTTATGTAACAGTGCCATCTCTCGTGCTTGCCTGGTCCATGTGGGGTGTCAGTCAGTGGACTGGCCAGACTTCAAAGGAAGTGTTTCCCTCATCAACCTAATAAAAGTTGCTGACAGTTTTATGTTAATTAAGCCAGCAGGCCTTGATGTTCTAAAAAGAGGATGACAGACCTCATAGGTCCATGGATATTTGAGAGATGTTTTTGTTTTCTTCTTCTTTACTTGGAATTAGAACATTCGGTTCTTTTTGGTCAAATAAGGTCCAAGATAGCATCGTGCTTGGCCAGTCTGTACATAAGGAAATGGAAATGCTGGACGTGCTGCCACACCACTAATAAGACAGAGTAACACCTTTCTCGCTTTGTGGATGGTGCACCGACCAGAGCCACACTGAGAGTGAGGGGAAGCATTCGGTATGGAAGTATGGAAGCCACTTCCTGAGAGTAAAAAGAATGTCCCTCATAAGTAACATCACATAGTATTACGTTAAATAGAAAACACCTTATAAGCAAAGGTAACCATCCCTTCCATTTCTGTGGAAAGACACTGTTTAATTCTAAAACACTGCCCAAGATCCACCTTGACCTCTGCTCCTCTTCTGATCTCACTTCTTGTTTGAGCTCACTGCTATGCAAATTCACCATCCCATATTCTATTTTTTTGTTTTTTTTTTTTTTTTGGTGAGGAGGATTAGCTCTGAGCTAACATCCATTGCCAATCCTCCTCTTTTTGCTGAGGAAGGTTGGCCCTGGGCTAACATCCGTGCCCATCTCCTCTACTTTATATGTGGGACGCCTGCCACAGCACGGCTTGAAGAGCGGTGTGTAGGTCCACACCCAGGATCCAAACCTGCGAACCCCGGGCCACCGAAAAGGAGTGCACGAACTTAACCACTATGCCGCCAGGCTGGCCCCCACCATCCCATATTCTTAATTCACCCTTATTTTGGGGTGCAATGCTCCCTTCTCTTTTGCATTAAGCCAACTTATCCAAGAGCATTATTTTATCTATTAATTGGTTATATTTGCAAAACCACATCACATGCCTTTAAAGTCCCAGATGCTTGTATCTCTTTTCAAGACAATATGTCAGTACTTTAATATTTGAAACATCAGTGTCAAAGAAAACAAAACAAATGGTAAGTGGCCTTCGCACCTCCCTGTGGGTAGGTTCCACTTAGAATGTGTGGGTGTTCCTGGGGCTTCGGAAGGCACCTGATTCTAGAGTTGGTACAGTGGTCTTGGGTCTCCACTGCCTAACATGGGAGACTTTTCCTTTAAGGCCTTTAGGGCTCTTAGTCTCCCATTATTCTGTCTCAGTAAGTATCCTTTAATATGTAAGAGGCAGAAAAACTGATCTGCAATCTGTTAACTATAGCTTGATATTCAATATGTGAAATCTGGAAAGTATTTGATATTATTTCTGTTGAGTTATTATAGAGGGCTTTCAGTGAAGTAACAAGTGACTTATATGAATTTGTTCCACACATACTAATGACGGTCTACCGTAGGTAAGACTCGACTGGGGGTGGTGGATGAGAATTGCAATACAAGATGCAGAATCCTCTGGAAGGCCTGAGTGCAGGCCAGGGAGCTTGCAATGGGGGCCAAAATTGGTTCTTAGAGGAAGATATTTCCAGACTGGGGCCTGAAGGGGACAAGAAGGAGGCGGCCAGGTGAAGGAGGGGAATGGGGGCAGAAGTGCATTGTAGGCAAGATCAAGACGCATGCGGTTCTCAGGTTTGCTCTAAGTGTTGTTGAACTAAATGCTCCATGTCGTGGAAGGGGCCAAACCTGGAAGGGTAGTAAACAGCCATCCTCCAGACTACTGTGGAACAAAGAATCGTTATCAAGCCAGAGTGAATAGGCAGCCCTTTCTTAATCTCCTCTTGAGAAGATAATCCTCTACTCCATCAATTTATATCATGTCTTCAGATCACGTGGTCATTGTAAAAAAGGCAACTTGACTCAATTCATTATCTCCCAGATACAAGAGATTGTTTTCTACTAACATGTGTTGATGACTGTCAGCCAATCAGTCACGTTCATTGAATAGACATCATGTTTAGAGCATTGTGTTTGACGGGATGTAAAACTTCAGACAAAAGGAGTTCATAATGTGATCAGAAAAGTGTCTGTGTGTGCGTGCATACATGGGCATATGCACACACACACCCCTTAGGCATCACCCCGGAGTAAACGTAGCCATCGGCCATATGGCAGACACACGCAGATAGCTGGTGCAGTTCGCAGAGGAAGGAGTGGACCGCACTTCTGCAAGACCCAGCGTGAGTCTGTGTGTAGTGTGTTCATTTTCAACCCAAGTAGGGATTGTGCTTCCCAACTGTCAGAGAGCAAGCCGGCTCCTCCTTCTCAAACCCAGAACCCAGATTCTTTGGGGTATAACTTTAGAATTTAAAACCTGAGGCAGAAAGAAAAAAGATCCCTCAGTGATATGCCATGAAGGCAGAGGATGAGACGTGTGAGGGTTTGTAGTGTGAAAGAGAATGAAGATAACCAAGTGATGCAGATCAGTTTGACTGGCTCTCGCCATGGACACTGTACCTGGGCATGATCTCCATGCATGGTGTTATGCTAGGGGCTAGGTTACAAAGCTGTGTTTAAAGAATAGGCCTCTGCCCTACTTCAAAAGACTGGTGAGTCAAGGTATATTTCTGTTGTACGTTAAAATAAAATGTTTTGTATTGTTCTCAACCCTGACTGACTTTTGTGATGAAGTGGGCTCCTGGTTCAGACCAGGTAGGTTAGGGGAGCCCCTGCTGTATTAGAGATAAGCAGCTTAGTTGAGGAGACAAGCTGTGTAAACAGAAAGTAGCCTCTGATAAATGTTGAATCAATAGCTCAGACAATAAGTACGATTAAGCTCAGAGGCAGGAGAGTCCATTTCAGCTGCAGTGATGGGGGTGGGTTTCATGGCTGAGAGAGGATTAAAGAAAAGTTTTATTGGTTACCTACCATAACTTAAACTCATTTTTATGGTAGTTTAAAAAAGATGCGATGTCCTCACTTCCCACTCTCTATGATGAGAAATGAAACAGAAGAAATAATAATAAAGTGTGATACATTCCAATATTAAAACCATTTCTTGGTCATTCAACTGTGGGAGGACAAATTCAGTAAAGGCTCAGTCTTGTCTTCACACTCTCTTACATTTTTTATTGTTCTCCATTCTTAAAGAAATGCTGCTTAGCTCTTTGGACCAGAACTGTATTTTAATTTATTTTCATTTCAATCAGTCATTATTAGAAAAAACATGGATATGAATGTATGAATGAATGTTCAGCATCTCCACTTTCAATAATGAGAGGCTAATACCGTTTCTCCTCCAGTTATGCACAACCTGTGAGAAGCTTCTGTTCTTAGCTATGATTTTTTTTTAATGAATTTTAACCTCTGTCTTTTCAAAATAATCATTAGTATTTACATTGCCAGACAAATTTGATACTTCTTTGGGTTAGGCACCCTCTGTACCTATAGTTGAGACACTAAAAAGGTCAGAGGAAGTTATTGTAAAACAGGAAGCTGCCCCAGTGCACTGGGAGAGCTTGAGAAAATTTTAAGAGTAGAAAATAGTTTATTCATCAGTGCATTGTGCTTCCTGTGAAAGATTCTACAGAGTCTCCCTTAGCTTAGAAAATAATTGATTTTTGACCACAATGAGACAGAGCCCACATCTCTTTCAGGTTGATGGGGCTTGAGTTCTCCTAAGAGAGAGAAAGTCCCTTAGAGGGGAGGACGAAGGTAACTGAGAGTCTAGTCATTGCCACACGGTCGGTCCTCCCGGCATGGTGGTGTGTGTAACTTGCTGATCTGCCACTCTCGGGGGCTCTTCAGTTTTGTTACATTTAAATTTAGCACCCGTGCCCACATCATCATTCAGCAACCGCCGCTTCAAGGCTGGTGTCGGCCCCTGACGGTGACATTTACACTCGTCCTCAATATCACTTCATCAAAGTGACTTGTGCAACCCTGTTTATCACAGGAGTGATTAATGCACCTGGGGAACACACCCCAGTTTGCCCTGTGGATCCTTTTTACCCCAAACGTGGCTCCTTCTCGTGCAGACCTCCACACTGGTTCCCAAGGGCCAAGCAGCCGCACACTGTTTGTATCCCTGTCGCCGCATGTCTTGCTCCTGCTGTTTATGTGGAGTGTGTCTGTATCAGTCTGCTTCTGTTCACTCTTTCATTTGTAGAGAACACTGAAAACCACTTTGAAACACCGGCAGCTCCTGCTCTACCTCCTCCAGCTCTTCCTAAGCCTAAATCCAAACCTAAACCCAAAAAACCACCTGGGCCTCCGAAAGGGGGCACTGCTGGGGCCAGCCCCAAGGGTGATGAAGTCCCTCCTGTTAAAAAAAATACCAAGGTTCCTGGTAAGCAGGCCCCCGTCCCTCCACCCAAGCCAACGAGCCGAAACACGACCCGAGAGGCTGGTGAGTATGTTACCTGGTAACAAGTATGACCCTGGTGGGGTTGAGTCTAGAGTGCTCTGCTCTGGGGTGGGCCAGTCACTTCTTCTGGGAAGGATGGCATTTTTGGCTTAGGATACAACACCAGTGGATTCAGCTTTGACACAGAATGCCCAGGAGATTCCTTTGTTGGTATCTCTACTAAAGGAAAGTCAACCAGGTGATAGTTGATCTCATTAGTGTTTGGGTGAATAGACCTCTCTCATCCTGAGTATCCACTATCTGCCTGAGACCCAGTGAAGGAGACAGGGAGTGGTGTGCCTGGTGAATGGTGGTGCTCTGATATGACATTAGTTAGACATCGACTGGCCTTCTGCCTATTTGAATTTATGGGTGGCTTTGTGGCTTGGGTTTTCTTTCAAAATATCTTAAGTTTGCACATAAAAACATGACGCTTGGGTCTTTGACATATTTGCTGAATCTTAATGTCTTAAATCTTTCTGCACACATAGTCCTTTCTCTCCTGATAAATGACAAAGTGTTCATGTCACTCGGTTCAGCTCCACCCCACCACTCTTGCCTGGAGTCGCAACTACTTGGGCAGAGTTGAAAGTTACGTGCTCAGTGCTTCTGCCCCCACCCCACCCCCATTAGACTTCAGTGTGTTTTAAGGAAAAGCATCCTCATAGTGTGGTTACTAAGTCACTATTGCACATCAGCAGAGGATGTTTTGGTGACCTACAATAACTTCAGGTAATGTGTATCCAGCTTCCCTTTCAAATCGGATATGCTTAATGCAAGGTGGGGCTCCCGTTCTTCTAGTGAAGTGGAATAAAGAAGCCTGTCCTGTCATCCAGCTTTTAAAAGGACATTAATCAAAGTACACAGGCTGAGTGGCTTTTTCCTATTAACACGTGCATAAAAATTCTCCTGTGCTAAAGCAAACCTTATTTTCCTTAAAATCAGCAGCAACTGTCTTGCAGTTGGCTACCAGGATTTGCTCTGGTATTGATCTTTTTCCCCTTGTAATTTATACCCATAATGCTCAAATTCAGAGAATGGCTTAGTTGACAGTGTAGCAGACCTCCAAATGCAAATGGATGTCTCTTTCCCCGTGCTCCTCTCCTTGCCTTTGGCATCGAGTGTCTGAGTCTCTTCTAATAAGCTCTCAAGTGCAGTGTCTCAGAATGTGTGCCAACAGTGCCTGTGGACCAATTCCTCAGGGACCAGCTGCCCTCACGCCTCAGCGTCCTTTCTTGTTGGCATCTGTGTGTTTCCCAGACTGCCTGGCACACCCTGGGAACAGGTCTTGAAGTGAGGCAGACGCTGATCCACTTCTTAAAGAAAAGCCCCAAACGATCGCCCTTCCTTGGGAATTAAGACCCTGCCTTGCACAGACTTTCCCACTTCCTCTGCCCCAATGGCAGCAGCTCACTGTTGACTGGACTTGACTCTCTCTTACTTCTCTCAGAAGAAAGCTGGTGATTAATGTCAGAGCAGGGGACAGCTTTCATGAGAGATTCTGAGTTATTTCCAGATATTCTACTTGAAGATTTATTTATGGACTCATGATGTTGCTAAGAGGAAACTATAGTCACGTTCTCCATTGTATTAAAAGAGGCCCCACTGGCCCTTAGTGTAAATAAGAATGTTGCTAGTCTCAGGTCTGTCACAAAGAAGCAGGAGTCGCATTGAAGTAGACGAGCAAGCCCATCGTGCAAGGATCCCTTTATCACATATTGATAGTACTCCTTCAGCATCCTGCTCATATTCCATTTGTAACCATGTAGAACTTCCTACACGGTGCCCTTGCTTTATTTGAATAATGCTGACCTTCTGGAAAAGTTACTTCAAATGCAGCTCTTGATCTTCAGTCAGATGTTTTAAGCTCTTAAGAAAGCTATCAGTTAAGATTCTTCCTCTCTAAGTTAGCATAGCTCTCCAGATAACCAGGTGCGGGCTTAGCTCATTCAGCTGCTTTGCCAGTGAAGTAAGGTGAAGTCTCCCATGTTTTTTCTTTGTCATCGTTGCACACTGTATTAACAAGAAAAGTACTTAACTGAAGAGAGGTGGCATTTCTTTTTTAGTCATGGCCTAAATTCAAGGTACCTTAAGCGACATGGTTGATTTCAGCTCAGTCCTGTCATTTTAGAAGATACTTAAAGACAAATAGGATAACATGGCTTGAATTTGCATGGCAGGCATTGAAAAAAGTTGTCTTTTTCCTTAAGCCAGGCTACAGTTAACTTTGCCGTTAGAAAAGAAAGAATTTTCTAAAAAAGAATTATTAGAATTGATATGTGGAAGGGATTCTGTTCAACTTACCTAAGAAATAAGAAAATACCTAAGAAAATAATTGGACATGTTTAGACAGCTAATTCTTAGCATCTTTGTTGGGAAAAATAAATTTAGAAGGGAGTTAGATTGTAGGAGTATTCGTAATATATTTGTCTTATAAGCAAGCGAAGGTTTTTAACTTGAAAGAAGTAGTATTCGCAGGCCCAGATTTGGGGGAGGGGAATTCTAGTTATTATGTATATCTAAACTAATGAAGCCCCCAAGCCATAGAGACCTCTTTTAAGCCTAGATCTTGTCACCAAGTGAGACTGGCTCTTTTCAGCATATCAGAGTTGGTGAGTCTTACGTCTCATTGTTCTTTATTTGTTCTTCATCTCCTGACCCTCCCCATTGACTCCAGTAAAGTTATAACCAGAGGTAAGTTACAGTCACGCCTGTATGTAGTGTGGGTTGGCTCCACAATACTAACAAGATATTTTTAATAGTTCTGTGGAATAGTTTAACTCCCTATGAAAAAGAAGGAACATATTACATTATAACAAGAAGCAATTGGGAGAAATTTATAGATCATAAAGTTCATGAAACAAAAGATTATTCTCACAGGAGTTAAAATGTATCTCCTAAGATGATATAAAGTCAAGGAGAGTTAGCGTTTTTTTCCTGAAAGTGGTTTGGTTGAAGGCAGTCCTATCCAGAAGTAGGCAAATACGCCACAGCCGTCCTCTGATGAAGACCCTCTGGGAGCATAAGCAGTTGTCAGAAGATCTGAGAATGATACTCTTTCCCTTCAAATTATTCAAACACTACCCATTTAGACACTTTTTGTAAAAAATTATTTTTTCTGCCTTTTGATGTTTTGAAGGCAACTAGTCTTTCATATGTGGCCGTGCGTTTTCACTCTGCCCTGTTGCCACTGCAGATGGGGATACTGGCGAGTCTAGCAGGCTTCTCTCTCTGAGCCATGGAGATAGCTGGTTTGGAGTTCATCTTTTAGCAATAAGATGAGTAAATTTGTTTCTGGCCCGGAAAGGAGCTGGTGGTATATACCCAGCTTCTTCTGAGAAGGCCACTCCATTCCCAGAAAGACATTGGAGAACATGTATAATTTGTGCTGAGCCCAACCTTGTCTTATACCCAGACAGCTGCTGGTGTCTGTCCTCTACACTCCATAATGTCCCTTCTTTGGAGCATACAGGGACTTTTTCAGGTAACCCACGGGACAAGGAGCTGAGGATTTCCCCTTGGCTGGCCAGCTAAAGACTAGATGAGGAAGAGGACAGAGGACTCCTGTCCCTTAGGGTTTTGCCTCAAGCATCACTTGCTCCCTCCTAGACTGGAGACAGGGAGGGACAGAAAACAAAACCATTATCATCATTAGCCTATTTTCTTTTATTCGTTTATTTGACAAATAATTTTAAAGGGAACCATTGCCGTTGACAATTGCAACCCGGTTAGTTTATTTAAAAAGCCTTGTCTTCTTTGACTTTTACTGCAAAATCTCTCTATTTTAGCTGGTTCCTCTCATTCAAAAAAAACAACTGGCTCCAAAACGTCAGCTTCACCATCTACTTCCTCCACCTCATCTCGTCCCAAAGCTTCAAAGCAGACAGTTTCCAGCAAGACAGGGACAGTGGGAGTCACAAAAGGCAAGGAAAAAACTGGCAAGCAGCCAACGTCTCGACCGTCCTCAGATGCAGACACTTCTGGCACGTCCGATCTTAAAGGAGAGCCTTCGGAGACCAGGGTGGAGAGTCTCAAACCCGAGCAGACTGTCCCTGGGACCGAGGAGCAGACCACAGGCAAAGCCAAGTCTGCAGTCCCTCCACCCCCTGGGGCTCCACCGCCGCCTCCTCCAGCCCCTCCTCTTCCTCTGGAGGAGCAGTGCATCGTTGCCTCGGACACTCCTATTGTCCTGATCAGCAATGGAGCCGACCTGCCCGTCCCTGCCTTAGACCCAAGTCAGCTTCTCTGGACTGAAGAGGCAACAAACAGAACCACTGTCCACTCGGGCACTGGCTTAAGTGTTAGCAGAGAAAATGCAAAATGGTGAGTCGGGGCGGGCACCAACCCCATATTCCATGTGCTTTCCCTGTGAAGCTGAATCCTAAGGATCACTGAACCACTCTGTTGAAGTGAAAGGAGCCTATTTTGTTTTCTTTTATCATTTAATCTAGTGAATATCACGTAAACACACATGTAACCCAGCCATTGGTTTTTCATAGCCCTGCCCCAGGAATGCCAGGAATGCTGAAGAAAATGAGCTTGGTCCTGCAGACCGATACGGCTTCAGACCTGTGGCTTTCAAGTCATCTTAGAACCTGCTTCATCACTGCTCAGCCATCCTTTTTCTTTTCCCTAGACAGTTCCTTCTCTTTCCTTACAGCGGTTATTTTAAATCTTGACCGTTGCTCACCCACTCCTGCCTACCTTCATTTCAACAAGTTATTTAGTCTTATCCTCTCCAAGAAAATAAAGAGCGTCAGGAAAGCACCCTTTCAAATTCCAACTCCTTTTCCCCCAATCTTGGAGTGGCTCCGTTTCTTGATCCTCAATTTGCTACCCAGCTCAAATGTTTTTTCCTCTGTGAAGCCTTTCAATACTCCTCTAGACAGAATTGGTTATTGTCTCTACTACGCTCTGACAGCCTTTTTGCTTACCTATGGGACCAAACTAACCAACAGGTCTATTTACCTCTACATCCACAGCAATCACTACAGAATCTGGTATACCATAGGTGTGCTATCATCTAGTTGCCCAAGCCAGAAACGTGGACTTCCTAGGGTCCCTAGCATCCTAGGGTCCTCATTCTCCTTCGTTCCCTGCATCTAATCACTTGAAAAGTCCTATAAATGTTCTACCTAACGGTAAAGAGGACATGTTAGCTCTGCTGTCCCCCAGGTGTGAAGGGAGGGCTGTCAGGGTATAGTAGATGCCATGACCAGTTCTGTCTAGGGAAGGCTTAGCAGTCTTAAATCCAGCCTCTTCTCTCCGGTTTCTAAGAATAAAACGAAAGCTCACTCTTCAAATCATTTAATTTAATATTGCCTCTTTCAAAAAAATCTTTGGCATGTTGGACTTAAAAAAAATTGAGTATATTTTTTAAGTTGATTTGGATCAAGAGACTAAAATATCAACTTTAATTATTCAATTGCTGATAATAATAACCTTAATTTATTGAATACTTATTTAATGTCAGGAACTGTCAGTTATTTAATTCACAGAAGTCTTCCCTGAAATATTTCTGTTTAGTAGATGAGAAAACAGATGCTGAGGGAGGTGAAATAGCTTGCCCAAGGTTACCCCGTGTGTAAGTGGCAGAGCCGGAATGCAAGACAGGGTTGCACACCAAATTCCGTGCTCTTAAGTAAGTTTATACGTTTCCAAAGCAGTTGCTTCTACCTCTTAATGCTATTTATTTTGTGTTTATTTCTCGTTTTTTGTTTATTTTTATCATCTTGAGCACCATTGTTCGAAGGAAAGCCAAGGAAAGATAAATAAAAGTTAAATTGCAAATTAGTTTATTTCATTTGTTTGACATTTTAATAAACGATATGGGAAAAGAAGATATTGAGATGAATGGTTGTGGTATCCTTAATACTTCCAGCACACAGCCAATATCTTCATTTAATTATAGTGAATGTTTTCCATCATCGCAGTCAATTCCAACCTTTACACCTGAACAGTCTTCTTTCAGTGTATATTTTTTGCCTACCTTCTATGTGCTGGGCAGTGTACTAATCACCAAAGATACAAAGTGAGCAAGACATTATAGTTAGGATTAGTTTGTCTTTTGGTTTTTTTGTGTGTGAGGAAGATTAGCCCTGAGCTAACAACTGTTGCCAATCCTCCTCTTTTTGCTGAGGAAGACTGGCCCTGGACTAACATCCATGCCCATCTTCCTCTCCTTTATATGGGATGCCACCACAGCATGGCTTGATAAGCAGTACATTAGGTTTGCATCTGGGATCCGAACCTGCGAACCCCAGGCCGCCAAAGTGGAGTGCGCGAACTTACCTGCTACGCCATTGGGCGGCCCCCAGGATTAGTTTTTACCAAAATAACATCCAAGAGGGCCAGGAAGTATAAATGTTTAAGACAAGTTCTGAATTTAGGAAAATAGATTGAGTATATGGGTTATTATTCAATACACTGAAAAATAAGGTGTAACGTATAAAGTGACTCCTTAGATAGTCATAAGCACCCAGAGAACCCATATCCAAAGGTGACGCTCTGCCCAGTCCACTTCCACAAACATTTAGGGAGAGCGCTATATTGTGCTAGGTGCCACACTGCGTGCTGGGGGCTTAATATCACTCTTCAGCCCAAATATGTGCGGGATTGTCAGACAAAAGAGGTGAGTGTCTGTGCTCCATTTCCACTGAGACTACGATCAGAGAGAGTGAACTCAGGACATCATTAGACTATTGAGGTATTTATAATGGATTTTCCTGTATTCAGGGTAACTATAATGCTTTCCTAGAAGAGGGCATAGAGATGTTCTTCTCTGTATATTCTTCAAAGTTAAAAATGTGAATTACAATTTATCCCACAGGTGTTTGTGTTTGCTCTTGAGTTAATGAGCCTGGAATAAGTAATCTCTCAAATTTCCTTCCAAATTCTGTCTTCCGTTCTTAAGTGGGTATTTAAATTAGAATTTCTGGCTCTTAGTCACTTGCTTTACTTAGAACTCGCCCTCGGTTATGTTTAGTCAACGAATGTGTGAAAATCCTGTCATCTTATGAAGAGGCTTCTGTTTGGAACACAAATATCAAAGCTTTAAAGAAGATAAGTGGCCATATGTAAAAATATCCACCTCTATTCACATATTATGGAGTAGTAACGATCTTGTAGATTTCTATTCATTGTCAGGTTCATCAGTAACATACATGTCTGGTATAATTTAAGGCATAAACTGATAAGCCCATCTGGACTCATATCCAAAAGGGACCTGACTATGTTTAGTCTATTTCCACAAACCTTTATAAAGTACACTGCATTGTCCAACGTGCCCAGGAACCTTAGGGGATAAAATGAGAGCCGCATCATGAATTGATTGATACAAATTTAGAGTATAATATTTAACATTCAATGTAATCTATAACAATGTCAGTATAACTTGTATCTTACAATATAACATAACATTTAATAGGTAGACTAAGAGTCTTAAGTCTGAGTTCTAGACTGGACTTGCTACCTTGATTGGGCAAGTCACTCATGGCCTTCCTGGGTTCCATGAGCTATAAATTATCTGCCCTCATTATACTATAGAACAGTTGTAAGCTGTAAATGTACGCAGAAGTCTTTGAAAACTGCAAAACGTTATAAAATACAAACTGATATCGTGAAAAATTAGTGAACAATGACGTGAACCATGATACCAGTGCTCCATCCTGAAGTATCTTTCGTTCTCCTCTTCAGAATGTAATTAATTGGTGTATCTTTTAAACGTCATGTGGTCATCCACAGTGGCAGACTGTTCAACAAGAATGGCCTCCAGTGGCAATCAACTAGAAATCCAGACTGTGGAGAAGTTTTCCCATAAAACAGATCTTCTCTTATTTAAAATGAGATTTCATCCTGTAGAAACAGTATAGTGGTTCCTCAAAAAATTAAATACAGAATTACCATATGATCCAGCTATTCCACTTCTGTGTGTGTAGCCAAAAATAAGGAAAGCAAGTCCTTGAACAGACGTTTGTACACCAGCATCTAGAGCAGCAGTAGCCACAACAACCGAAAGGTAGAAACAACCCAAATGTCCATCGACTGATGAACAGATCCACAAAATGTGGCATATATATACAATGGAATAGTGTTCAGCCTTAAAAAGGAAGGAAATTCTGACATGTGCTACAACATGGATGAACCTTGAAGACATGCTAAGTGGAGTGAGTCAGACACAAAAGGACAAATAATTTCACTTATATGAAGCACCTACAATAATAAAATTCATAGAGACAGAAAGTAAAAAGATGGTTGTCAGGGGCTAGGGGAGGAGGGTCGGGGAGTTCGTGTTTAATGGTACAGAGTTTCAGTTTGGGAAGATGAAAAGTTCTGAAGATAGATGGTGGTGATGGTTGCCCAACAATGTGAATGTACTTAATTCCACTGAACTGTACACTTAAAAAACGCTCAAATGGTAAATTTTATGTTATGTATATTTTACAAAATAAAAAAATGAAATTTCGTATTTCCCCCTTTGAAAACAAGAATTTTGGCTGTTGGATTTTTCTAGTAAGTGAAAAAAATAGAGAATTTTGAGAACGTTTAGGCTTATAACCACAAAGTAGAATTTTCAATTCCTCAGATTCTGACAAAGTTTACCTGTTTTTTTATTCAAAGACCTGTTTTTTGGTTTTTTTAGTTAGTGAGAGCAGCAAGCACATGTTTTGCACTAAACGGTCTTTGAGAAATGTGACATCCAAATTTGGATTCTTCTATTTATATCAGAAAGCAATTTGGGGATCTTCTGTATCTTAAAATGAAGATTCCATTGTTTTTGGTATATGTTTTTGATGTGAAATTATATTTTTTTATTCTAGTCTCTGAAATTGGCAAGCTCTGTATATTTACAATAACTTTAAACCAGAGACTCTTACCAAGCTAAATAATAGAAAATTATTGCATCCTTACCACCTTTCTTCTAAAGAGTCCATTTAACTTGCACATTTTCCATCTCACATTATTAGTTTAGTCCTATGAGAGGCAGTTTTATAAATGGAGAAACTAAAGCACAGAGAGGATGCATGATTTTTGACTGTTGACACACTGGCTGTGATGAAAAGAGGATTAAGTCATATGTCAATTCAAGAAGATGTACTTTTCTATGTCACTATCCTTCTAGGTACTGGGCTGCAGAACAGTATGAGTCCCAGTTGTCAAGGAACTTTGGGGGTTAGAAAGGTAAACAAGTAGATGGTGGTTGAGGTGTAGCTTGCTAAGTGTGCCGGTGGGGGTGTCTTCAGGTCACCCTGGGAGCAGGGAGGCAGGCCAAGGAACTCCACTGAAGGCCAATGACAGATTCCTGAAGTTGCTGAGGCTTTAACTGAGACTTGAAGGATAAGTAGATGTTACAGGTCAAAGAAAAAGTAGGGACAAAGTCAAATATCCAGGAGCTTCTAGCCTATTTCCACTGAACCCCCATTGCTAGGGAAAAATAAATTTGCAAAGTAGAGTTTTACCATATTTATGTACTAAATATATTGGACACCATCTAGTCACTCCATTTCATTTTACAGATGAAGAGTCTAAAACCTTGAGAATTGAGTAATACAGTACTGCTCTTGCCTTCAGCAAGAGCCAGCCTGTGTCTGCCTTCTCTTTTCACCAGCCTGAAGGATGCTCGTGAGACCAGAGTTCCTTCTCAACGGTGTTGGCATCATCCATGAGGGTTGCTCTGAGCTTCACACCACCCCTGTGTTTTTGTGCCTTTAACAGTTTCACGACCAAAGACGAGCTGGGAAAGGCAGCACCTCAGCTACTGACTCCTGGGCTGATGGGAGAATCCTCAGAATCCTTCAGTGCCCCAGAAGATGAAGGCCACAGGGAATACCAGGCCAATGACTCTGACTCTGATGGGCCTGTCTTGTACACCGATGACGATGATGATGAAGAGGATGAGGATGAGGATGGCAGTGGAGAAAGTAAGATTCTTTTCATGAGATAGGGAGGAAAATGGATGGTGGACAGAAGCAGCTGTGTTTTGTAAAGAACAAAGGCCTCATCGGGAACGAGACACTTGATGTTTTCTTTCCTCTTATCTTCCTTTCTCAAATTAGAAATGTGTGTATTCTAAGGTTTAGCTTTTGATGACAGGGCTTTCTGGAAGCTGACTTCATGATGGCGGGGGTCAGGCCCTTGTCTATGAGGCAGATACGCATCTTTGTATTTGTACAAAGAGTCAAAGCTTTCTAATGACAGAGGCCTTTCTCAGATCTATCACAAGATGGCCCTGCCAGCCTGGGACCTTTCTTGAATAAAGAGCATCAATGCAGGATTCACTGGATTACTCATTGGAGGTGTTGGAGAGTTTCACTCAGTTTTATACTGGGGTTTAATGAGAGGGGAGGGAGGAAGGAGTCAAAAATGACAAATACCTTTTAAGAATTAAAAACACTCATCCACAACGAGTAGGATAGTATGCCTTCTAAGAAGGAATGATAGTAAAGTGGGTAAAGCCAACCATGTATGTATAATGTAGGGAACTGGAAAGTGCTATTTTTTTCTTAAACTTCTGAGCAGGATGACTTGGGAGGGATTCACTATGGAATTGAATTTACAGATTATGAAGAGCTAATAGTATATTAATGGTTAAAACAGCAGTTTGTCAAATTCCTTCTAGTTTGTACTGAACAACGACAAAAATCATTATTATCCCTCTGGTATTAACTATCCTCTGTTGCGATAGCGATTTCTGGATAATTTAGGATTAAAACACTGATATCAAAGGTAGACTTCAGTGTGGTTTCTGAGTAGAAGAAAAGGGAAGACGAGGATTGACTATACAGAATAAGTAAAGGGGCTCCATTTTTAAGACTTGAAAAAGAAAAGGCATTATGCAATCAGTAATTTCCGTGATATGCCATCTCAACAAAATAAACTTCAAATATCACTTTCCAAATGATGAGGTGATACTTGCAAGGTTTTTCATGGTGCCCCAAGATTTTTCAGAACATTTTTAAAAATAGTTCTTCAGTTTTCCAAAATGGACTATATCCAACTCAAAACTTTTTTTTTCCTGAGGTTAGTTAAAATTCCACTCTTGCGTGTGGATAAAGAATTTGGTCTGGATAGACTGCATCGTCTTCACCACCAAAAGTCTAGTTTCCATCAGTCCCTGTACACAATGTTACCTCAACAAAAAAAAAAAGAATAGAAAATGAGATAAGCTAAAAAGAGTATATTAAAATATTATTGATGTTAGCTTTTTTTTGAGGAAGATTAGCCCTGAGCTAACATCTGTTGACAATCCTCCTCTTTTTTGCTGAGGAAGATTGGCCCTGGGCTAACATCCGTGCCCATCTTCCTCTACTTTATATGGGACGCCGCCACACATGGCTTGACAAGTGGTGCATTGGTCCATGCCCGGGATCCGAACCTGCGAACCCTGGGCCGCTGCAGCAGAGCACACAAACTTAACCGCTATGCCACCGGGCCGGCCCAAGTTAGCTTTTTTAAAGCCAGGAAAGCTAAAGTATAATAAATTCTGGTTTTGGTATAAATAAAATATTAGAACTTAACAAAAAAAAAGTTTGGTCTGGACTGTGTTTAAAGTCCATGCCACGTGTAACCTGAGTGCCATTTGCTGAAAGCCTCTTTCTTTGCGTTTCCGCCTTTTGCAAACCTCAGGTGCTTTGGCAAGTAAAATACGACGAAGGGATACTCTTGCTATCAAACTTGGCAACAGACCATCTAAGAAAGAATTAGAGGACAAAAACATCTTGCAGCGAACGTCTGAAGAAGAGAGACAGGAAATCCGGCAACAGATTGGAACCAAGCTGGTCAGGTAATTGCTGAAATTTTAGTACAGCCCTGCCTAACTCATCCTTTTCTCCCTCCTGCAGTTTCCTGCCTAACTGAGATCGTGGTGAATTCCTTGTGTCACGGCATGCCTGGCCCGTCTGGTCTTTTAGAGTTGGTCCTGGATGGTGAACCACTCAGAGAACCTGCCCTTGGGTCCAGCTAGTCTGTGGCTTTGACGTCACCAAAGCTTGATCCAAGGGTTGACAGACTTTTGCTATCAAGAGCCGATGGACTCTTCTGTAAAGAGTCAATGCTTTAGGCTTTGCTGACCGCAAGGTCTCTGTTGCAGCGGCTCAGCTGTGCTATTGTAGCACGAAAGCAGCCATAGACAACACGTAAACAAACGCGTGCGGCTGTGTTCCAATAAAACTTTATTCACCAGCACAGGCAGGGGGCCTAACTCATGGACTCACCAGCATTCTTGTGATGGCCGTGAAGTTCTTCCCTGTGGACTATGAGACTGTAAAAATACTAGTTAGCCTCAATGGCTAGCTCCATCCAAGTCTGGTAACCGTAGCCCCCACATCTAAACTTCCGCCTTTCGACTTCAAGTAAATGATCGTCTGACTTTTCCTGTCTCCAGTTGTTGTAGGATTTCCACTTTTGCCCTAGTAGCTTTGGAATTCCATGTAACCGGCAGTTTTAATAGAAGTGGAGTGCTGAACTTCTCACTTTTTTTTTGTTTTTTGAGGAAGATTAGCCCTGAGCTAACATCTATTGCCAATTCTCCTCTTTTTGCTGAGGAAGATTGGCCCTGGGCTAACATCCATGCCCATCTTCCTCTACTTTATATGTGGGATGGCTGCCACAGCATGGCTTCATAAGTGGTGTGTAGGTCCATGCCCGGGATCCAAACCCAGGAACCCTGTGCCACCAAAGTGGAGCTCGCGAACCTAACCACTACGCCACTGGGCCGGCCTCTAAGGTTCTCACTTTTTATTATCACTTTAAGAATATTTAAGTATTAGTTATTTTGCTGACTTGTCTCACTCTGTATAAACAACAGGGTGCATAAATTTGGAGAAGGGAACAGTCTGGAATACCAGAGCAGGATTTGGAGGTGAGAGGAAATTCCTCTCCTTGCTTGGAAGTGGGAGACTTCTATAACTGCAGTATACCTCCAGGGTTGGCATTTGGGGTTTCCGGAGGCCATTATCTGTTTTACAGCTGGGGCCAAGGAGGGCTTGTAAAGATTAAACAAGATGATACATTGAAGGCACTTTAGTGCCTGGAGCATAGCAAGCACTTAATAAAATCAAATGTTTTTTATTATTAATTTAAATTATTATATATCTCTTAAATTAGTAAAATACTTTTAAAAATTAAACTCACTGTTGGCAACTTTATGAGAAAATGCTATGTATATCGCTCTTGTTCAGTACTTTGAAGAACAACTTAACAAAATGAAAAAAGAATTATAAAGCAGTCTGTTTCTTTACATGGTAATTCCATTTGGGAGACTATACAAGAAAGTAATAATTCAGAAGGGAAAAAGAAACCTATATTTTACAAATATGTTTATTTCAAGGCTATTTACAGTAGTGACAAATTAAACCAAATGCTCAAAAACAGGACTGATGAAGAACATTGTGAGAAGTTGACACTGAGAAATAACCATAGAACAGTGGTTTTCTGTTTCATCAAGAGTTCTTGGAGAGAATACTCCAAAGGATACTCAGGCTTCTGTGTGGGGAGCCATGGAAGTATTGGGTGTGTTTTGGGGTGGGATGGGAGGGGACTCCTTCATCCCAGGTTTAACTGTCCAACAGAACAGCACCTTTTGTGTCTGTTTTATATAAGGATTCCACCCCAACCCCCAAAAGTTTGCAAGCCTCTGTAATTACACACATAGACCATATCTATAAAAAATTTTATCAGAGTAGGGTTCTTAGTGTTATAAATGTGTAAATTTTACAGAATTGTTTTTCTATGAGGACAGCACATCTAACCACTCTTGTTCAAATAAAAATCACCCATAGTTCCTACCTTAGGGAACTCCATGTGTAGTGAAAGAGACAGAGTTATATATTGCATGATGGGGTCATGTGAAAAGCACAAACATCTAAATCAAGAAGACCAGGTATGAGTCCTGGCTCTAACATTCACTAGTATCTCATCTTAGGCAAGTGAATTGATCTCTCATTTCCTCATTTGTAAAATGGAAACTGGCTGCTACCTTGCTGAATTATTTTGAGGATTCAAGATAATGTAAGTTAAGCACCTAGCACCTGGGACTTTAAAAGTATGAACTAATGAGAGCTATGATTATTATTTTATCTTTGTTATTATTTGTATGAGAAAGTGCTTTAATAGATGTATAATCTGTGTATGACCACTGCATAGGGGCAAAGAACCAGGAGCTTTTAATTCTTACTGGCAGGACAGATCAAACACCCACCTTCAAGGAACTATTTTAATCATATATAAGATTTCAGTAGATAGAGGAGAGAAGGGCATTCCAGAAGGAGGACACTCCATAAACAGAAGAAGGATGATGTCCTTGGGGGATGCTGTGGGACAGATATGTAGTACAGGATCCATGGGTACGCGGATGGCACAAAATCTGGCTGACATAGATGTTCACTGCGTTCTTTTATAGGCTCAATTACTTAAGTTAATTTAGTTAATTTCAAGGTTTCTATAATGAAGAGTAAATATTAAAATTTTTAATGAGATATTCAAAATATCATTGATTTCACTTCTTCATGCCATTTCTGTCATAGCCATAAACATTTAGAATTGATAGTATTTTATATTAAGATTACCTTTTATGTATATTAGTTCAATTTGCACAAACTCAACCTACATCCAGAGGAAGTTTTTTTCTGTGATTAACAACAAATTAATAATATAAATAAGACCAAGAACAAAGTTATAAGGGGTTATTAGGACATTCAGCTCTTGTGTACAAATAGTTTGCTACTAATCTCAAATGAGCCTGGTTTTCCTTGAAAGCAGATGAGAGGGACTCTATATCTCAAGACAACTTTATATGTATTGTGAATCCACTTGAGGTCATGAGAGCAGCATTTCACTTAAAACACTGTGCGGTGTAGATTGAGCATCTCCTGAGTTGGTATGAACTCATGAGCAGCAGGCTCGCTTAGATCCTGATGGTCTGTCTATTAATTAGGGCAGAGGCTAAGCTGCTCCAACAGAGACCAAAAAGTACAATGGTCCAAATAACGCATTTTCGCATGTTTATTTCTTTTTTACATAATAGTCCAGAGGTAGTGGGTGGTCCAGCGTGGGTAGCTCTGCTCCTTGAAGTCAGCCAGGCACCCAGCTTCCTTCTGTCTTGTTCTTCCATCCGCATAGATATTCTTATCGGCGTGGTCCAAGCTGGCTCACACAACCATGGTTAAGTTCTAGTCTGTGGAAGAAGGAAAAGAGAGAAGGGAGCACACACCTCGTCATTTTAAGGGTGAAAAGCAGATGTTATAAACACCGCTTCTGCTCACATCCCATTGCAAGGACTCGCTGCCAGGGGGCAGGATTCCACTAGGGGCTACAGCTCAAATTCAGAGGGTTCTGTTTCTAAAGGGAAGAAGGGAGAATGGAGAATGGGAGGTTGTGAGTAGTCTTAGCCACAATCTCTAGTCTCCAAACTAACGGAAAGGAGATTTTTATTTCATAGGTTTAATAATGGATTTTTGTTTCTCAAAACAGGAAAAAATAGAGCTTTGTCGTTTGTTTTATTTTGCGTCTCCCGCTCAGGGACCCTTGTTTGTAATCTGCGATATATCCTTTTTGTCATCGTAGGAGACTTAGCCAGAGGCCCACAACTGAGGAATTAGAGCAAAGAAATATCCTAAAACGTGAGTATTCTGTATGATACGGTGATTCTTTTTGTACCCGTTAAAAACCTCCCTCTAGAGACAGTCCATTTATCGATAGGAAACCTTAATATTTTATTCACAAATGATTGAAATGGCCCACTTATATCACATTTTTATATAATTGTTTATATAATTAAAAAAATAATTTCTTGAAGTTTGCATTTCATTTTATGGCTTTACGCTTAATATCCCCCAGAGCAGTCATGGTTGCGACAATTGTTTTTAAGAAAGATGAAATATATTCCATGTATTTTTTCACCCAAATATTAAATAGAAGAAAATACTCTAGTGGGCTTGCAAATAAATGTCAAAGAAAAGGCCAAAGACTTCACAAGGAAATAAATCAAACATTCCTATATTATTATGAATAACACAGTTTGTTGCCAGGTTTAACAAATGACTCAATTTAAAACAGAATTATGGTAAAAGGGATTTTTCAACCTATTTCATTTTCCTTTGTTATGACAACTCTGTTTCCCTCTTATTTATAACTTCTCAGCACTTAAGGAGTTCTTCATTCATTTTCCTGTTTTATTTTCCCATTCTCCTCTCTATTTTCTTTGACTTTACTTTTTACTCCCCCGTCCAGTAGTATTTAAGTTACTGGAGTTTGCGTGTTAAAGCTAAAAAACCAAATAGAATTGTAGTTTGTCATGGTCTAGTGCATCAATGTAGTGTCTAACCGCAGAGAGTTAAGTAATGGATATTTTTAAATTGAGCCTAACTGTAGTTTTATATATTACTAACCCAGTTTCCAAAGAGCTTTTTATTTTACGAAATAGCAAAGTGCAGGGATGGGCAAGCCTCCAGACAGTACTACAATGGTAATGAGCCGCTGGCGTGCGGGAAATCTTTTTCAACCAGGCTTTTAGGATCAAGTTGGCCTGTCTGGATGGTCCCCAGTCTCCAATCTGAGTTGTTTTCTTTCCTGAAGGAAAGAAAGATTTTAATAGCATATTTATACTACGGTTGCTATTACTAAGACAACCCAACAAAGAAGACTGAGCAGTGAGAGAATTGCCAGTCTATGGGATTTTTTGCTTGGAATGTTTTTTTCTGGCTGTTTGTGAGTGGAACTGGAATAGAAACCCAAGAAAGGATTTAAGTGACCATCAGTGTGCACAAGAGCCAGTTTGGAGAAGGAAAAAGTCATGGCTAGAAAAGAAAAAAAATTGTGTTTTAGCTTCCTGAGGAAGGACGAAAGCAGCATCCAATTTTGACAACAAAACCAAACCAAAAAGGCTCATGGCTTTTGATTATAGGTTCCTGGAAAATAGTTGTTGCCCTAAATTTCAGATAAGCTCAAATGCAGACCATAAGCTCCTAAAACACAGATTATTTATTATTGGCTGCCTGACGCGATACCTAGAAAAAAATGAAGAGCGAATTCTGGGTAATTCTTTCCTGCTCCTGTGTGACAAGTAGTGCCAAACCACGTTGGTGTTTGGTTGTTTGAGGAACTGTTTCATAGATCTAGAAGTTTATCGCACGTTGATCTTAGGTGCTGTGTTGGCTTTTATACCCCATTTTCCTGGATGTTCGGGAAAGAGGGAGACGCCAAAGTCAACTTTAGATTTGAGTCCAGCACTTTCTTACTTCTTCTTGGTTGGTCTAAGCATACTTATTCTGGAAACAAAAGACACGTTTCCAGTCTGGAGAGGCTGATAACTGGCTTAGGATCTCCTGACATAATATCATATGGCCAAGCGAAGCAGAAAAGAGAACTGGTGGAGGTCATCCAGAACATTCCGCTGAGCATTCCCAGGGAACTGAATGGCACAGCTTATGTCACTTTATTCAGCCTCTGTTTGCCTCTGGATTCTTCCACATAGATTGCTCTTGTTGTTTTGTTCCATTTCCAGCTTTTGCTCAAAGGCAATATGATTGTCTATTTGAAGAAAAGTCTCTGTATGACGTGGTGTGGTTCTGAAGGACACTTATTTTAACCAGGTCATTTTTTCTTGACAGATTAGGGAACTAATTCACAGCATGAAACATTCAGCAGTTCTTAAATCCAAGCGCATCACTAGTTTAATAAACAGGAGTCAGACGGCAGTCACTGCTGATAGCTTTAACTGGAGACCACAGGACAAATTTTATTTCTTAGTATCATTCCCAGGATCACACCTTATTTAATTTCTTTCCTCTTTTAGTGCATCTAGGGTTTTAAAACATATATATATTAAGTCATATTTAGTTGTACATTTTAGAACCAGTTCCTTAAAATTGTTAAAATAGAGAGTAAGTTTTGGTGCTTGAAAGGTCGACTTTTGCTTATCAGGAAAAGTGACATATTTGGAACAACTTTCTCAGGGCAAAAATAAAAGATACAGATCCTCTCCTACTATTTAGCTGTGACTATAATTCCAGCTGTACCTTCTATAGGGAAAAAATGTATTAGGCCACTGAGTTCTGCATGCATTTTTCCCCAACATTTTATTATGAAATTTTTTAACCATACAGAAACGTTGGAAGAATTTTACAGTAAACACCCATATCTATTTTACCATTAACATCTTACTTTATCACATTTTGCTTTATCATGTATCTGTTCATCCATTGATCCATCTTATTTTTTTTTTTGATGCATTTCAAAGTAGGTTTATAAATGTTATTTTCCTTTATCAAAAACACCCATATAGAAACATGTAAACCAACAAGAAGAGAAACAAACCCACAAAAAAATGTTTGGCTTTTTTTAACCCATTTTATTTGAATTGATGACCCAAGAATATTATACTCCAGTTGCTGATATTTCGGTGCCTTTTTTTCTTCTCCTTTTAGCTCATCGGCAAGATGTTCTGGGCAACACTTGCCAGCCAGGCGGGTTTCCTGTAGTGCCCACCGCTGTTAAACCACGTGTATTGTTAATGTGTTTATGGCAAAGGCTTCCTGTGGCTGTTCTGAAATATCCACCCCTCTCTGCTCTGAAAGAGTTACCCAGGGCAAGATTTGTCAATGAGCCATGTCACTTCCTTCATGAATATTCCTGCACTCTGTTTAAAGTGACCAGAAAGGTTTACATCCTACTTTATAATTAGCCCTCTAATAAATCAAAAAAAAGAAGGAACCATTCAAAAAGCTCGGTGAATTTTTTAAAACTAAGTTTAAGTTTTCACCTTGACTCTTTGTAAGGGATTTTACAATGACTATTTAATGAGGTTCAGCAGAATGGTCACCCTGGCTTCCCTCCGCCTCTTACCCTCTTCCTCAAACTTCTTTAGAAACATGATGTCAAATATGGGAAATATAAGGAAGTCAGTTCCTGGTGTTAAAAAACAATTCCGCAGAATCCTGGTTTTTTATCTACTGCAATTGGCTCTTCCTTTTTTAAACATTACTGGCAGTCATCTAGATGTACAATATGCTTAGTAAGGCAAAATTATCTAATATTCCCCTCAAGGAAATGACATTTTGTGTATTTCATGAAAATTGGAGTATTTGTTAGCTTTGAGTCATATTAGATATCCAACTGTTTGTCTTTAAAAAGGACCTTTAGGGGCCGGCGCAGTGGCACAAGCAGTTAAGTGCACGTGCTCCGCTGTGGCAGCCCAGGGTTTGCCAGTTCGGATCCCGGGTGCGCACCGACGCACTGCTTGTCAAGCCATGCTGTGGCGGAGTCCCATATAAAGTGGAGGAAGATGGGCATGGATGTTAGCCCAGGGCCAGTCTTCCTCAGCAAAAAGAGGAGGATTGGCAGATGTTAGCTCAGGGCCAATCTTCCTCACAAAAATAATAATAATAATAATAATAATAAAATAAAAAGGAGATTTAAAAATGTAGCAAATCACTAGACAGGAAGAATTGACTGAAATGTTTTAAGGATTATATTTTTCTTTTTATTAATCATATCATCAAAAGCCTGACCTTGGGAAGCCCTAGTTTGAATCCCATGAGCCACAGGTTTGGCGTTTGTATATTATGTATAATTTACAATCCACATGCCTTATCTGACTTATATAAGATAATTATGGGACCCCAAAGATGTGTTTTAAGATATCAAAGGATATAATTTTTCGAAGCAATTAGAAAAACCTGTAGCATTTTCATAGGAAGAGAGCTGAATTATAACCAAATTTGTTTGACACACATAGGCACTTACAGAAAGCATCCTGACTAGTCGTTTCTTGTCTTGCAGGATGATTTCAGTCTATGTTCACTCTTTGTGTAAATAACAAGACTGATCGTCCTCTTTCTTGTGAATTAAAATTAGTATTTCAGAAGAATGTAGAAACTTTTCCTTGTCCAGATAGGGAAAATTAATAGAGATTTAGCATGTTCAGCTAACAAATACAGATGTTGCAAATATTGAATGCTGATATTTTATTCATGATAAAAATAATCTTAGTGGTAAGAAGTCTATTTGAATTTTAAAAATAAATATAATTATCTTTTCACAGAGGAGACTTTTCTTTTTCAACCTTTTGGTTGAGCCTTTATACAGTGTGATTTTCCTTCAATAGAGTTCATATCAGCACTTTCTAAAAGATAATCTTTCGTAAGCATTGGTACCCAATGAGTAAAATCTGTGCTCACTTATCAAACAAATGAGGAGCTACAGGAAGCAACAGAGAGAAGTTCATCAAATAAGCAACTATTAAAACCTGAAGGGTATTTATTTCTTTTAAAATTCTAGACATTTTCCCCTTAATCCCATCTCTTGAACAGCATTCGTTTAAGTTGGCCATAAAATTGTACTACTTGGTGAAACACTAGAGAAAGACAAGGCTTTGGAAAGTCCAAGTCCCAGGAAAATAAATCATCTCCATCAACAGTACACCATAACCATATTCAGAACATTCTGGTGTGAAAGCAAAGTCTGAAGAAATGATTACATTCTGCTTCTATGGAGAACAAAGCAAATAAATCAAGTCTTTTGGTTGGATTTGAATGGAAATTAGCAATTCGTATATTCATCAGATGGTTCTAATTCGTTCTTTTGATGTGTCTTAGATTTTCATGTGAAGGCCAGATCCAGAAGTAAATTTTTATCTGAATTCTGATAAATTGTGCTTATAAGCCCATGAGATGATCAACAATGAAAGGCCTTCACCAAAGTATGGGAACTCTTGTGGTTTTTTTTTAGAATGGAACAAGAAGGCAGGAAGCAAAAAGGTTTACAAATAGTAAATAAACCAGTCCTAGAAGGAAAAATATATATATATATGTAAATTAATGATTGATCTTTCTGCAAAATCTTTTCACAGCTTTTTAGAAGTGTTAATGGAGTGTTTGAGCAATATCTGTTAGAGTCAAATAATTGTGACCTAATCTACTTTTCTCATTATAAAATCATTTATAGTAACTAAGTCTTCATGCCTTCCCCTCCCCTTAATAAACAGAAAAAAATGAAGAGGAAGAGCAAGAAGCAAAAATGGAACTTAAACGCAGACTCAGCAGAAAGGTGAGGAAACCGTGACTGTTAATGAGCACGTGTGTTTTGAGATCTATTTCATTTTTGAAATACAAATCAGCTCTCCACATATAAATCTGATATTTAGGAATATTTGTTCCTGTTAGCCTACTAACTGATCATGGACGTGAAAATCAATGTAGTGCATTCAATGTGAATTGTTTTATATTGATAATACCATGATATGTTAATTTCGAAAGGTCAACAGTCAACAATGTTAAATTGCATTTATTGATTATAAAAATAACATACCTGTGTGAAAATTTTTTAAATGCAAAAAAGAAAAGAAAATCACACAAAAGTCTTCCGTTCAGAGACAACCCATTTCAATGTATAGTTTTAAAAAATGCTCACACTTTCCGTGTAGTCTTGGAAATATTAAGCAAATATTTTGTTACTATGGAAAATTTGCCACTATTCCAGATCTGAGCTGGGTAATTTATTAAATGAACTCGATCATCCAGCCTGCCTGCTGCAGTGTTCCCCCAAACTGACAAATGGCTTACCTTCAAAACTCAGAGAATTGTTTCCACCCATTTATGAAAATATAAATCTGATACCAGGGCCATCGCTTTTTTCTGTAAGTATTAAAATAATAATAGTCTTTGGAAAAATTAAGCACTATCAGAGTTTATATTTCATTATAAATCCTTGTTCAGTAATTCTTCAGCTGTACCTTTCACACCTGGAAAGGCAGGATGAATAGTGCTGATAAGGCAGTGAAGTCTGTGACCTGACCCACATTTATCTGGGCTGGCTGGGGAGTCCGCAGCAAAAGCATTCTAAGGCAGGTAGAAGAAACGCTCTTCCCATGGAAAAGTTATAGACAGTACTTTGAGAGTTTTTGTTTTTAGGGAAGAAGATCCTTAATTCATCACTTTTTTTTCTCCAAGACCCTAAATGTCAAATCATGATCAAGCTGAAAAAGACTCTGTAAACTGAATTTCTAGAGATGGCTCTTACGGCATTTAGTGGCTGTTAAGTTACCAACTACAGATAAGTAACAGCGCTTCCTCATTGCTCCAGGCTCACCCCTGCCATGCATATGGTCTTTTCTCAGTCCACTTGGGCCCTTCCAGGAGGCAACAGAGCCAGCGCCTACCTGCTTTGCCCCCAGTTGCCTCCACCATGCAGAGCTCCCTGCCGTAGGTGCAGGACAGCCCGTAGCACTCATAGCTACCCCAAGACTGGCACAGTCCTGAAGGGCAAGACTGGATGGACACTTTCTGACCTGTGTGGCCACTGGTCCCTTGCCTTTTGGGCAGTCTCCAGAGGCAAGGGTTTCTCTACCTTCTTAACCCATCCACCCTGGAGAGGCAGTAAGGAGCTAGCAATACAGATTGGACAGCAAGTGAGAGTATAACAGAACCACTTAGATTATTCCTTCCTTTTCCATTGTCTACCAGGGCGTGAGGAAGATAGAAAGAGCTGCAGTTACCATATCCCAGCTCAAGTGGGCTCAGGATGTAGACCCAGACCTTCTAAGAGTCCTTGAATGCCCTGAATATTAGAGCATTGACTTAGTTCAGCCTCAGGTTTTACTCAAGAGGAAACCAAGACCCTAAGGAGATGTTTTTGACCACAAAGAACATTAACTTTTTTTTATGATAGTGCTTAATTTTTCCAAAAATTGAGCCTATGCAAATAAAGAAGACCTCCAAAGAGGACCACTTAGACAATGGATAGTCCGGCCATAATATATGGATGACATGTAAGAGAGAAACGTACTGAAAATGGACCCCGTGGGTAAAACGGGCCCGAGTCTACCTGTCCAACTGAGAAAGACCACGAAAGCATGAACCTCAATAGCAGAGAGCAGATAATGTCAGCCTGGCTGCCAGGTTTCTTTAGTCTGTCAGAACCATTTCTTTCTTATTCTTGGGCTTGAGAAAGGACCAAGAGAGGAAAGCAGATCCACACAGGACTGGATAGATTAAATATAACTGTAAATTTGAATTTGACACAGACCACAATTTGGAATCCAAGTTATTAGAAGTGTCTTAAGGGCTGCAGCTGGTTTAAGCAGTCATGGCCCCACTGAAGTCAGCTCTCCAGTGACCCCCCCACCCACCCTCGTTCCTGCACATCTGCTCTTCTGGCCGAGGGTAAATGTCGGATCGGAGCCTGGGTCCCTAGTCTGTCACAGAACACTGCCATAGGCACACCCTTCACTGCACCATTTCTTGGTCGTAACTTTGTGCATTTCTGAGTAGATAAGGTTGCTAGAATAGGAACAGAGATTTTTATTCTCATTTCTAAAAGCTGCAGGGCTTTTGTCTTGATAATCCAGCCCTCAAACCAGCCATCCCGTAGCTGGGTTACTGATGCGTCTGTGTCGCTCCATGTTCCTTGTGGCAGGGATGACAGGTGCCTTTATCACAGTGCCAGGCAAGTTGGGGAAAGTAGCATAAGGCAGATGGCTGCTGACGACTGTGACCTCTCTGACAGTGATGATTTTTATAGTCTCAAAAATTAGGGCACACTGCTTTCTAGTTCTCATTAGAAATTCCCAAGATGCTGCTGTCTTTTTTTTGTTGGATATCTGAAAGTGACCTTATTTAACCATAACTTTGAAGTTCTTTATAGAAAACTCGCCACCGTGAGGCTATAAATGGTTTACCGAACTCGTCCTTTTTTCCCTGTCCTCCTGCAGCTCAGCCTGAGACCCACAGTGGCAGAGCTACAAGCTCGAAGGATCCTGCGGTTTAATGAGTATGTCGAAGTCACCGATTCTCCTGACTATGATCGCCGGGCAGACAAGCCCTGGGCCAGGTTGACACCTGCAGACAAGGCAAGAACCTCAGTGGCTTTAGCCATGATTTTATTTATTTATGATTTTATTGCTTTTCTAAAAGGTCCAAAGCCCACTTACCCCCAGTTAATCATCCTAGAAGGCTAGATATTACCAAATATCCTAACAATTTTCTGCCTTTGATTATTTAAGCCACTTAGGTGATATACTTAGTAACGTCAATGTAGTTCTTTCAACTAAGTCTCAGAAAAAACTAGTTCTTAGTTACCCTGGAACTTGCCTGCTTTCAAACCGGGATGGGGCAGCCTTTCCCACAGCCGTGACTAATCCTTAGTCTTAGAAAATATAACTTATACAAATTATCGTTTTAAAGGGTTGTGTTAACAGTGGAAAAGATACTGATCTATGTCAAGGCTGGCACACTTTTTCTATAAACGGCCAGAGAGTAAATATTTTAGGCTTGGGGGGCCATCCAGTCTTTGTTGCAATGGCTCAGCTCTGCTATTATAGCAAGAAAGCAGCTGTAGACAATAGGTAAGTTAGTGGATGTATGTATGTTCCAATAAAACTTTATTTACAAAAACAGATGGTGGGCCAGATTTGGCCTGCGGGCCATGGTTTACCAACCCCTAATCTGTACTATGGCTCACAGTTCAGAAATACTGAAATATGTAAAGGATTCCATCGTGGAGAAAGACTTATTATTTTATGAGTACTGTGATTCCATAGCCAAAAAACTCTGCCAACCATTTGTTTTTAAATTCTTCACTTTAGGATTTGCTTAATATCCTGAATAATGATTTCTAACTTTTGTCTGTAAGCAAAATTTGGTATTGAATAAACTCTCGCCATACTCAGTCTTAATGCTAAAACTAGATATTTAATTACACTCTGTGATGATGCTTTTTAATAGGAGCTTTCATTCTGTCAAGTACCCACTATGCGTCAAGCATGTATTGGAGATATAGATTCAGAAGTCATTAGCGCATAAGGAGAAATGAAAACTAGGAAGGAGTAAGAGATCACAAAGGAAGAATGTTCCAAATAAGAATAGAAGGAGGCTGAGAATAGCACCCACGGGACCAACGTTTATGAAGAGGCAGCAGAAGAACACGGAGAAGGAACGATGTGGGGAAAGAGGAGAAGATATAGCCCGGAAGCCTAGGAAAGAGTGTCAGGTCATGGTGGTCAGCAACGTGGCAAGAGGGGGCATTTTAGTGGACAGATGGGTGGAAGCCTGACTGTGGTGCAGGCAATGAGAATAAAACACAACCCCAAGAGTGTTGGCTGTGAAGGAGAAGAGGTACGATGAGGTAGCCACTTGCGGGGTGATGATTGTGGAGGTTGCAGGCTTAGGTGAGTAGATTTGGAAAGTAAGAGTATCAAGGGAGTGATTTTTTTTAAATATATGGGAAATACCTGAGCAATCTTTTATGCCATGAGGAAGGAGCCGAAAGAAAGGGAAAGGTTGACTGTATAGGAGAAAAAGGCAGTAACTGACAGAGTAGGGCGTGATTAATGGAGCAGCTGGTCAATGCTGATACAGAAAAGGTGAGGAGGAGACCCGTGAGGATGAGACGGACAGCACGGGCTGAGGAATGTGCCCAAAAGGAGGAGGCTTCCCCAGGCAGGTAAAATCACCCAGATTGAGGGCAGCCATAAAGAAGACTCTGATACTCAGGTCCTGTATCAAGCTCCCCGTCAATTGATGCCATGTTTCCTGAAGGAAATGTCAAGTTTATGGGTCACCAAGAATTGCCTGGAAACTACTTACTGTGGTTTCTTGCCTCATGCCTGCAGCTCCCCGTGTAAAGTCCAGCCCCGTGCCATTCCCTGGGTTACGAAGAGGAGGAGTGCCTACCTTGAGGGCCCTGTGGTCTGGTCAGAGGACGTAGTCATGTACACAAATGCAATGAGTGACCGAGTGTATGGAGAGTGAGTGTGGAGGGGGAGGATTTTGAGGCAAGCCCTCCCACCCTCGAAGTCATCTCATTAAGGACGCGTGGACTGCAGAAGCCGCCTGCACCCACCGCTCCCCTCTGCCCACCCAGGTCTCCAGCAGCTAGTCATGGGGTGTGAAAACATGTCTCCCTCTGGGAGCCCTCTCTCGGGCTGAGTGAAACACAGCTAAGAGCCTTGAGTGTATTTTGTCTTAATCACAACCCTCGACCAGCAGCCCTCTGCTTTTCCCTTTCCTACCTCACACTTAATTGTGAGTGGTTTCCACTGCTTTATTGCCATTCCTTCCTGCACTTTCTCCTCACTGTTCAGCAGCAATAGACTTTCTTATGATCCCACGTGGTATCTGACACCCCACAAAGAAACACAAGGCTTTAGGTCAGATGCAGTCTCTACGATGAGTGTTAACAATGGGTAACATTTCTTTCTCAACACTAACCCTGTCTCGGGTCTTGTCTTATACATTCTTCTGGCATTTGTTTTCTTTTATTTTTTTAGTTGTGAATTATATCATATATGGCAAAGAATGTGTGAAACAAATGTACCATGTAAATAATAAAAAGAAGACAGCTGTTTAATTAATCCCTACCTCCCAGGTTAAGAACTTTACTAAGGCATTACTAGGACCTGAACGGGCCCCTGCATGCTCCTCCTCAATTGCACTCCCCTTCCATCTGTAAAGAAACAGCCACCACCCTGACTTTTGTGTTAATCATTCCCTTTCTTTTTTTTTTTTTTTTTTTCCAGTAGTTTAACCACCTTTGTATAAATCCCTAAACAATACATACATATTTCTTGGTTTTGCCGGTTTGGGAGTCTACGTGATTGGAATCATACAACATTCTTCTGGGTATTGGCATCATTCAGTCAACACCAGAGAATCTGGGTTGGTGCATTGGTGATAGTTCATTCTCTTGCACGGAAATATAGTGTTTTGTTGTATGTATAAGTCACAAAGTAATTATTCATTCAATTGTTGAGGATTAGTTAGTTTCCAGATTTTAGGTTTACAAGCTGTAGTCTATGATTTCGTCCTCCCTGCCTCACCCACTAAGCACCAACATGAAACTTCACTAGCTGCTCTCTGGGAGTCAGAAATTCTAGTTCACCCTCACATGGAGGGAATGCCACATGGGCCCCACTTTATGGCAGGAGGATCATTTATCAGACTCGCCACCTTGGGCGGGTTTCATCTCTGGTCTTCAACATCTCGCCAGGCTATGAAAATGACTGCTCGAAGTCACCAGATTTAACATAGCAAATGCCCTCGAGGTCAAAGCCAGTTTCAGTGCCCTGCTCACCTCATTTCCCCAGCCTTCATCTTAAAAAGTATTTTCTACTCTCTTACCAGCTAATCGGTACATTGAAGATAATTTTTAAATGTTATGTTCAGGGGCCGGCCCCGTGGCTTAGCGGTTAAGTGCGCGCGCTGCGCCTCTGGCAGCCCGGGTTCGGATCCCGGGCGCGCACCGACA